AATTCAACATGCTAGCATTGTTTAAGTGTATAGCCTATACATCCTTAAGTAAATAGGAGCGGAAGGCGTTTATTGTCGCCGATAAACTGAAACATGTTTCATGAAAGACGACGCTAGAGAAAGATGCATATTTACTTAAGCCCAGTTAATCGAGCTTCCTCTGCGCTTAATTCCCAGTCATAATGAATAAACGGGCGATCTTCTGTGTTTGCTGTACGCGCGTGGACGCATCGAAATCAAAGAGAATATTTTATTAACACCATGTCGCGGGTTGCGCGTAGGGGATACGTGCAATAATGCTCACTTGTTGGTTTATAACCCATTAGCCAACCTTTGTACGCCACGCTTCTTTGCTGATATTTGAATCCATGCAAACAACAGAAAGGAGAGAGAGAGAGAGAGAGAGAAAGATCAAATCGAACATTGCATACAACTTTTGTTTGTTTGTTTCATTTGTGTAATCATTTGTTTTAATTTGTTTCCATTACTACAATTGATGTAATTTATAGTTCTATTTTATACGAAATCATAATTAAAAATAGATTTTTAAATCCGTGTAAATATCCATGAAAATAAATCGAATTGTTCAGTCAAATGCAACAATTCTCAAAAGTTTAAGACATGTAATAAAAAGTTGTGTCCAATATTTGAAGCAATGAACTTTTAGAAAAAGAGAAGTTCTAAAATGATTTAATTGAAAAAAGAAACTCATTCGCATCTCATTGATTCTCATACATTATAACAATAATTTGTCTTTTTCCATGAACATAAACTTCGATTGATAATGATTAGATATAAAAATCCATAGTAAAAAGAAAAGGAAATTATAAGCATAGATAGAGATTAAGTTAAGAAGCAGAGAGATACGTGTGTTACTGGTATGGGAAGGGAGAGAGAAAGGTGATTCGTGTCCTCTGGTGACACCCTTTGTGAAATATTCAAGACGTACTCCTTGTTCAACGCTCGAACCAGCTTAATTAGCACACGGCTAATACCTCTCCCTCACCAATGTTACCAGCCCTTATTCCTCTTTTATTCGTCTTCGTTTCATCCCCGTTTTCCCCACTTTCTACATACATTTCGATTTATCGTTTGTACTAGTTTCACATTCCACTGGCCTTTCGTTTTACGACCTTGAATATTTGAATCTAAGCATAACATTTTTAAGAAACTCATTACGAGAATAAAATGTAGAATCCATCTTATTGTTGCTAATAACTCTTTCAATATTCTTTACTGTAGATCTTGTTATTATTGAAATTATTTCATCCTCAATTTGGTTTATGATTATGGGCAATAAGACAAAATCAGTTAAGAGAATTATAACTCAAGAAACAGAACATTTTTATGGTATACATCAATATAATTATTTTTAAATATTATTTGATTCCGAATAAAGAAATATAAATGTGATCGAGAGGGAGTCAACTAATGATCGGTGATAATTACCCAATCAATTCTATCCAGGTTGTGTTTAATATTAGCTGATGCAATGTGTATCGCATGCACCGGCTAAATTATGAGAATCACCGGGGAACAGCTGCCAATCAGTGTCGCGAATATTCTCGTATCACGTTTATATGATTGCTCGGTAGACAATTCTTCCTCCGGTTATCGTCCCTTCCGTCATGCTCTTGGCCCATACCCTCTGCCGGCCGATACGTATCCATCGGTACGGCGGTGGTCCTGCGTCAACAATAATTTTCTCCGTGTTCCGGAAGACACGAGTTTATAGCGGGTGACAGCCCTCCGGAGATTAGTGCACGCATCGTCCTATTTCGATATACAAAAACCGAACAAATCGCTTTGAAAGCAGTTGCGAAATTACCGATAAATCGACTGCCGATTTTTATTCTAAATACAACGTTTGCACTATCAATTTAAATAGGAAAGATGGAAGATCATCCAGATCAAAATCACTATTTCTGAGTGGAACAAATAATTCTTTACTCCTTAGAAAACAACAGCATAGTCGAAATTGAACAGAATATTTTTTGTTGCAATTCCAAAACTTGGGTCCCTTCGAAACTCTTATAACATAACATAACATGACGAAAATGATTGTTTTTTTATATTGAAAAACTACTTCAAGTCAACCCAAGATCTGATTCGCTTCTAAAAATGGGGGACGAACTTTTGCACTGACCTAATATTTTCATTTCCTTTTTATGTTATATATTAATAGAATACGTTTCCTATATTCCCGACACATAGAATTTTCCTAAAAAATCGTTCTGCCACATATTTCTACTTTTACACAAAGCTTGACTGTTACCTCGTGACGTTATTCACTCTCACGTCATTAATAATGTATCTCTTACCGAAAGGACTCGAAACTGGAACCGTTTAGTATTATAGAGGCTGGTACTTAAGCAAATGACCTCGTGACTAACCCTCGTGACAATAATGGCCGTGGAAAGAATAAACTTGAATTTTTCACCTGGCACCCGCTCGCCGCACCGCGCACCACCGCAGTGTACCTACCCGGGGTAAAACCATCAAAGCGATTTTACCATGTCTCCCGGTTCTACGCCAATGTTTGCGAGGCCGCGGGCGAGAGAGAACTTTTTAATTGGCTACCCTTAATTAGTTAACCAGCAAAGTCTCGGTAATTATTCTGTTTCTCGCTCCGTTTCCGTACAGCCCGGTTGGCTGTCTTCATCCCACCCGCGACCGCTGCTGCTTCATCGCTTTTTCCACCCCGACCATCCCCTACATTCACGGAATCTCTCCGTGTTTTCGCTCGAGTTCTTCCTTCTCCGCCGGGCTGAGCACGGCCGACCGCGTATCAAGCGATCGTTCGTTCGTTTCCTCTATTTGCTCAACTTTATGACGAAGAAAATGTCAAAATATAGCAGGAGCTCGTGGTGCTAGCGAAATACGTTCGGCTCATCCTTTCAGAAATGCAACAAATTGATAAATTTCTCCGTTTTAGAGACAATTAATGCAAAAGTAAAATTACCTATTGTTCAGCCTCCTCAACTTTCTTTTCATCGTTTTCTACTTTTATTTGCCTTCTTAGCTTCCACCTGCTTTCTTGCTTCCATAAACAGTTTTCTCAACTTGTTTCTTCAGTTTCCTTTGCTTTCTTTCAAAGACACTGACGTACTTCAGTCTTTTATTTTAAAAACAATAATCATAACACTTATAACAATTACCGATAGAATCAAATTTAATTATTGTATTGTTTCATTACATTATTTTAATGGAATGCTTAATAAGATGTTAATAATTCATTATTCTTCATAACCGATATGTATTTTGGTTTACAGAAGGCGGCAGGCAGATCGGTCCTCACGCCTGTACAGTTTGCCAGAACATCGTTGAGGGAAACACGCAAAGCAGAGCGCTACCGCGAAGTCAAGCGTCCCAGTATGGTCTGAAGGAGGATCAGGTTGGACCTGGTGCACGCGTGTGCAATACCTGCAGATGCAAGGCTGTAAGGGGACGGTACACTGCGTGTCCCCTTCCCGGTTGCCCGAACTTGAACAATACCAGTTCTAAGACAAGAGTGAAGAGGTTGCGAGCCTTGCCCGCTAAATGGTTGGATCTGCCATCTGAAATTCGCGATCCGATTATCCAGGAGTTTCGTAAGTATTCAAATTGATTTAGAATTATTGATAAGCTGTATATTCGTGCAATATAAATTTCTGAATGAGATGCAGTGTAAATTATTATATTTTGCTATTTACCCCTTCCCCTCGTCACCTGATTTCCTCTTGCTATTTTATTTTCACCCCGAAATCTATTTCCTCAATTCTTATCAAATATCTACTCTCTGTGTAATCATTTACCTCTCAGCTATTTCACACTTCCCAAAGAGATGTTCCAGTGCTCCACATTCCTCCTGACATTCCTGACGTTCCTCTAACCAGAATATAGTTAATAATTAATGGTTTTAAATTTGTTCTTACGTTTAGAAATACCAAGTAATGCGACTAAATGCTGTTCGGCTTGCTTCAATCGAATATCACGTCGTTTGGCACCACACTTGACTGGTGGTACCGAGGTGTCCGAGGACTCGGCCGAATCCCTTGCTCGACAATGGACGGACGAGGAACTTGAACAACTGAAGAGAGCTCTTCGAGAACACGGTACTAACTGGGTGAAAGTCGCCGAGCAGATACCAGGAAAGACGAATCATCAGTGTAAAAACTATTACTTCGCTTACCGGAAAAAATTGAGCCTGGATCAGGTGGTAGCAGAATATTATCAGTCGTTGGGCGAAGAAAGGAGACCATGTTTAACGGATGAAGAAGAGAGTGGCAGCAGTACGAGTAGCTGTGACGAATTGGCAGTAAGTTGTCAATTGAATTTGTTCCCTTACTCTGCTTTCATCAACTTTTAAAAAAGAGGTTCTGCTTGTTTCATGTTAAATTGAACTAAATTGAATTATTCCAGGTTCATGATTCGAGCGATACAGCCAGCGCAGGTAGTCCAGCGAACAACTTGTCCGGTGGAACACCAGGAACGCCGGGTGCCTCGGCGTCCTCAAATCTGCCAATCTCGTTCTCGCGAACGACGGAGCAGAAACTCGCCGATAAACTGGCGGAGATCTCCGTGGTATCTTTGGTACCGCCGGTTAGCATAAGCGCATCGCAACAGTCTTCCACCAGCGGAAGTAGCAACGCTGCTTCGGCTGGCACCAGAGAAGATTACGACAGTTCCGCCACGGTAAGACCAAGTTCTTTTTATCCAGCAGCTTGTCAACAAGGGAGATGCTAAAGTAAATCACGTAATTCTTATAAAAATGCTTGAATATTATTTTGTGTGCCATTTGTACATTAGTCATAAGAAAGTAGAAATTGTTTTGAATGATTTTGAATGCCGCATTTACGTTTCGTCTTCCTTATTTTTCAATAATTTAAATATGGAAAGAAGTTTGTCACTTGATTGGGCCGTCTGATAGAGGTTCGCTGATTGTTTCAGGAGACAGCGGACGAAGGTCAGGGTGGTACCGATTTGGAGAACAACAGCGTGGTCGTCACGTTGACAACTGCCAATAATTCCACGCCGCTTCAACAGCAGCATCAGCAGCAGCAAGCGCACCAGCAGGTCCCACCGCTCACCCATTCGCCGCCATCCACCACCAATAATTCGAATCCATTAACCGTCAAGGATCTTATGCTTGGCGTAATCGAGATGCAGCTGAAACGGAATCCCAACAGCCCGGCCGGTACCACTAATCCCTCGGTACCCGTCAACACTGGAACACCGACGATATCGAGTATACTGAAGACGGATCATAGAAATGATATCACCTTTGTCAGAGAATATAAACCATCGTCTACCATGGCGAACACTAGCATGCCGCCTAGAGATACGAATTTAGCCACCTTGTCGGTGGTGTCTGGACCTCATCACGGACACCGTTCTGCTCCCAGCCCTCAACAAATTGGTAAGTTGCGATTAACAAAATTGATGGATTTCGAAAATAATATATTATGTACTATATAAAGTCTTTAGGAAACATTGGACTCCCCAGTTATCACTGAAAGTACGCATTTCTGAAAAAAATGTTAAATGAAAAAGATGTGCTAAAAGAGAGGTATTTGTCGAGGACTTTGCAATTTAAAATGGAAGCTTTCAAGAAACGGAAAGAGCACAAAATTTCACGTTCAGATATGTACCTATTCGATCTGACAAACTCATTCCTGTGAGTTGTTTAAGGTTCAGGAAATTACATACCACTAGCAAATACCCCTTTTTTAACACAACTTTTCTATTTAACATTTTTCTCAAAGATGCGTATTTTCGAAAATAACTAATGCTAAGTTTACGAAATTATGTATGAAAATTATTCTACTAGGTCAAATGCAAGCAACGATTACCCCTTGTCCACCAGCGCCGTCAAGCAGTCAGTCATCGACGCCGGATATACTCCCGAAGGAGGGGTTAGTCGTGATGCAGGTGCAACAAGCATTACGAGAAAGCACCGAGGGCACGCTCGACCTGAGCATCAAGAAACCAAGGCAGCAGCAAGAATATAATCATTCCCTGCAGACGATTCACAAGCCACCGACGGTTACCCTGTATCGGCCAGAACCTCCCCCGGGTGCTTACTACCATCCTCACGCCCACCCGGATCAAGGACGCGGCGCGAAGAGTCCCTTGGTGTACGCGTCCTCACCGCGACCTCAGGCACCTCTTACCCCCAAGATGAATAAAGTCTCCGTGCCGCCACCGCACCCAAAATTGTCGCCCAAGTTAAGCACAATCGGAACCACAAGTCATAAAGGCGGTTCCATCACGCACGGCACTCCCGTTTCCAGCGCGCGTTACGAAGGTCTCCTCAGGCAAATGACGCCGCCCGGAAACCCGGGTAATACCGGCGGAACACAGAACCAACCGGTGATCAGCGTTGCGAGTGCTGTGAACGCGTCCAACAATCAAGGGCCCAAAGAGACGGGTTCCATTACCCAGGGCACTCCCGTTCATCCCTTCGCCGTAGACAAGCGCGCACCGATGTATGACTACCACAGATCTATCAGGCACTCGCCGGTGACGACGATTCCTGGCCAAGTTCAGAGTCAACCGGGAACAGTGGTCGTGACCCACAGCAGCCAGTACAACTCGTACTCTGGGCGGCCGCCTCCTAGTTACACCATGGAGCAGCAGCTATCGTCGAGGCAGATCATTATGAACGATTACATCACCAGCCAGCAAATGCACGCCCGTAGTCGGAATAGCGGAACCTCCGACGGTGGCGGTAAGAATGAGCCGCCGTCGACGTTGTATTATACCGGTACGCCACCGCCGCCGACTCATACGCAGCCTCGGCAGGGTGTCATACAGAGGCACAATCCACAGAAACAAGTCCATTACCCGCCACCGCCGCCGGGACTAGAGGCGTTTTCCAACCTGGTGGACATTGCCGTGCAACAACCGAGTCTTCCTGTTCCTCATCCGCATGGACATCCAGCCTCCGGAAGTAGCGGCCACGAGGGCCTTGGTAAAACCATGGCGGACAGACTGTTGGCTGATCGTTATGGGGACAAGCATCGTTTGGCCATGCACCAGGATCATAGAATGGCTGTGGTTCATCATCATCAACGCGACAGGGAAAGAGAGCGAGACCTGGCTCATATGCGTGAGAAGGAGGAGTACAGATTGCAGAGGGAAAAAGAGATTCAACAACAGGAACATCGGATGGCCCAGCAAAGAGAGAAGGAAATTCAGCAGCAGGAGCATAGACTGGCTCAGCAGCAGAGGGAGAAGGATATGCAACACACTGATCATCGTCTTACCGTCCATCAGCAAAGAGAGAAGGAGATTCATCATCAAACTGCTATGACTGCATACACTGCTGCTCAACGTGAAAAGGAGCATCAAGAGCATCGTTTGGCCGTTCAGCAAAGAGAACGAGATCTGGCCCACTTGCAACAACAACAGCAACAACAGCAGCTACAGCAGCACATTCAACAGCAACAGAGAATGGAGGCCGAGAGAAGACACATGGCTCAAATGTATAGAGATCAGCAGCAGCAGCAAATGGATAGAGACAGTAGATTGATAAGCAGCGGGTTCAGTCAGTCATCGAGACATCAACAACCGCAACAATCCCAGCAACAGCAACAATCTTCTAGACAGAGCCAGCCCTCTGGTCAACAGCAAAACGAATCGGGATCTACGTTAACTGCTGCCAGCCTGATCGATGCTATTATAACGCATCAAATTAATCAGAGCGTTGAAAGCACCGGCGGTAATTCTCAGCCACAACGACCTAGCGATCGTCTTTTCCAGGTAAGTTAAACATCTTTCTAACGATATTAACTTAGCTCAAAATGCTTTTTTATCATTTTTAAAAAGTAAAAACTATTCAAAAAGTAATCAAACTAATTTTATTATCGGCATATGTAGATATCTTTTACGGTAGAATACATTTCAGGGATTTCACCGGGAAGCTCCGATAGAACCTAACGGAATGGCTCATAGTCCAGCAGGCGAAGGAAACAGCGGTAATAGCGGAGCAGGGGGTGCGCCCGGTAACGGGAGTGGGAATAAACCGATAACCCTCGGAGAGCACGTTGATCATATTGTTTCTAAGGACTATGGTCCTCCACATTCCTCGTATAGATCGTACAGCGGGTGAGTTTTCATTCGATTATAATTTTCATCATGTTTACTATTATTATATCAAAATACATTATACCATGAAGATTATCGATCAGTACAATAAGTTTATTTTCGAATAGATATCCAATCTCGGAAGATCAATGGAAAAGACGGAAAGCCAGTGAGCCCGATTCCATGAAGGCTGGGGACGAACGGCAGATAATACGAGTCACGCAACACCAGTCGCAACAGCAACAACAACAACAACAACAGCAACAGCAGCAGCAGCAGCAGCAGCAGCAGCAACAACAACAGCAGCAACACCAGCAACACCAGCACCAACACCAACAGGCAGCCTCGTCGGTAGGAAAGCAACAGTTCCACTCGGTCGAACCCGTCTCGCCTCCGGATGCGGGTACCAATCATTACGGGCGTCGTCTGTACGAAACAACCACTGCCACATCGACTTCCGGAACCCCTTCCAACAAGCCACACCTCTCGCCCCTGGATTACGTGAAGAACAAGATCGTCGAGGTGATGCGTACGTCCGAGGACGACAAGGGTGGCGGCGCGGTAGACAGGAACGGTGGGAACGTCAGTATCGGCGAGAAGGACGATAAGATCGGCGGCAACGTTGATAGTCCGTCGAGTGGAGAAATGATGGTCGACGAAACGCCGAATCAAAACCCCGCGCCACCCGCTCCGGCGCCTACGACCACCTTCTACCCGTTCAGCGCGCTAGGGGTGCACACTGGCCCACCACCAGCCCCACCCCCGCCGACTTCCGGTTCTACTTCGATAACCAAGTCCGAGCAGGTCAAAGCCGAGCCGGCACCGTTGCTTTCCGCGCAGTACGAGCCGCTCTCTGACGAGGATTGATAGTCCAATGACCTGGCGCCGTGTAGCGGTCGGCACGCTGTGAACAATGTTCTTAGGCTATTCACGCGATTCGTTTAAGCTTGACGAGAGCCTTCACCGGACGACAATTACAAGATACATACATATATCGAACGTTTCACGATTATCAATGTTCTATTTTCTTTTATTGTTTTCTCTAACGGGCTTCTCACGCCACTGCGTTCTAACTGGTCGTGTCCGATAATTTTCCTCGAGGATAATCTAAATGCCAGATGGTCTCCTCTCGACGTAGTTTCGTTTCATTCGTTCAACTTCGCTTCAATTTCTTTTTCTCTTTTTATAGGACGAAGTTTGTCACATCCCAAAACGGAGATTAATAGTACGATGTTTTTCTAAATAGAGTTTATTATTTTATAAATCGCATATTCCGTCAGTTTTAGTTTCGAGAATATCGTGCCCCGTTATTCTCGCTTCTCTCTGTGTACATGTGAACGTGATCAGCCTCCCACCACGGAAGCATTATTATTAATATTATTATTATTTTTTAAAGTTCATCGTACGCACGATACACACCAAGCGTAATTTTAATTGTTAATTGATATTTTTTTACGCATTACTTACCCTCCGCTCTAACATGTACGTAAATGTTGTGTAATTATCAGCTAGATTAAAATATATGTAATTATTTCCGTTCTCACCATCACGTTTTTTTTCCGTTTTTTAAGGAAACGCTTTTTTTTAGATAGCATTCACTTGTAATTTATCCACGTTGATGAGCAGGCACGAGGAATTTTTAACTGTAAAACGACACGACACCGTTTAATTGTACAGACGTTGTGTGTAAAATGAAATTAATATTCTGTAAAAAGTTGAAAAAGTGTCGTGATAGTTAAATTCTTTTTTAAATGTAACTCGAAATAAGATAATGAAGAAACTTTTATGAGAAGCAACAGATTGTTTTTAGTATTCTTTTTTAAACGTGTTTGAATACTCCTGAAAAGGGTGAATCTTTTTAGACGATGGGTTTCCGTATATATCTAGAAATGAAATGTTTGCATCGTGCAGAATACGTGCGATCGTTGTCGAAGCAAAATTAGAGGAAATAGAGAAAAAGCATTATCGAAGGTAATCGACCCGTGGAACGTTCAGGCTAGCCCAAGTTCACAATGGAGACGCCTTTTTGTACATAATGAATGATATATAATCGTTAAACGATGATACAACGCTAAATAAAAAAAAGGTATACAAGTTTTTATTTGGAATGAGTCTGTGATGTGAGTCTGGGACTTAAAGAAAAACGAAAAACGAAAAAAAGATAGCTTCATCTTTGGATTAACGTATACCAGTGCGACAAGAGTACACTAGCCTGGAGTATATGGATTAAATATGTGACGGCGGTCGTGCAAAAATTGCACGCACGGACAAACACACACACATACACACACACGGGGACAAAGAGGAATGCACTATCTTAACTCGAGATCACGTTTAAATGTTTTCTCCTTGGTGAAGTGGGTTTTAAACAAAACAACAAAAAAAAGTGTAATTCTAAGTGTTGTACATAGTACACAATATTAATTTCTAAGTTGAACAAGTAGGTGTATGATGGCTAGTTTAATCGTATGCTATATTGTAAGAATTATAGATTTTAGCATAAGTGACGTAGGTAGCATTTAGGGATTAGACGCCATGAGACTAGGGAAAAGATACTTCCCGGACTACGTTCTCTTATTAACGAAGAAGACAAAGGAGGAGAGAAAAAAAACGTGTGCAGGTGATTAAACCGATCAACGGCAAATGAAAACGAATGGATGCGAATTATCTTTTATTTCGAAATTCTATTATAGAAAACACGGAATGTACGCTCTGACTATCAAACAAAAGGGAAATACATAATTGCAGTTAAATGATGACGCATGTTGCGGTACGATTTACATTGTCACCTATTCGTAGCGCGCATACACGCACGGGATACACGTAACGTAATATACATCGGTTGAATATGCGTGTACGCATTACAACTTTTTATATAGCCTAAATCATTTTATATTTGTACGTGAACGCTGTTCTCATTTAGTCACGCGCGACAGTCTGATACAAGCCCTTAGTTCCCCCCTTGACGTAACAGCTTTTTTCGTCACAGCGTTCCGCTGCACCGTGATGTGATCTGACGAGTTCGTTGAACTATAGAAATAGCTGGAGTGTGAACAACTGTAAAAGTCCGTAAGAATAGAATGTTCCAAGAAACGAGATCGCCTACGGGATATCCTCTTTTTCATACTATCTGTTTCTATTCGTATTATCTTCTAATTTTGCCTACAGTGGAACCAATTGATAAAATTGTTAACCACTCGAAAATATTATCCGTACGCAATCATGTTCTGACAGATGATTTCAGAAGGACTCAAAAACATGGATTATATAACTTGAAACCATTGCTAATGCAATTTTTGTTGTCGACGCGTACCCAGCCACCTCTGTTCATATTCCAGTTGTCTTATATAGCTCAATGGATGAGTTTATTTCTACCAAAACGTGTTGCTAACAAATAATATATATGTACATATATACATATATGCATATACACAAAATATGTTACAGTGAAAGCGGATGTGGTGCAGTGAATGCGGTCTATTAAATAGTGAACGTACACCTTCGCGATTGTAAGCTCTTGCTGCTCGTCGTTAGTGAATGTTCTAATAAAATATGAAATATAATAATAAAATACTAGTACGAAGTACAGTGAACATCTAACCCGAACCAATAGCGATCGATAGGATAGATACCGCGTCCGCAATCGAGTCGAGTCTTCTCTTAAAAATAATCGATTAAATGATTAATAAGCTTTATTTCTTATCACGTTCAACTGCCTTACCGAAGATGTATACATTTACTAGTAAGTAATCTACAAAAGTATATTCACCGCACCGTCTGCTTTTACTGTAAACGCAATGCATGCATTCACATGTTCACATACCATGTATACACATGTATGCAGATTGTTTACATATGCATATACGTACTCGTGTTCTTTAGATTTCATTGCGCACTTTTGTATAACTTTCATATACTATTAATTTCAAACTAAAGCGACTTTGTTACTTCTCTGTCAGATTTATCGAGTCGAAAGTAAAGATAAACGTTCAGCACATTCCTTTTCGTTTTCATGTATGTCAATGCGGCAGATGCGTACATGGATAATTATATACTTGAAATTTAATTGCAAAATTCTCTAACGACTGATGTAATTATCTGGCATAAGAAGAAAGAAGGGGAAACGTGTAAGCGCGTGAGCATTCAAATCACACGTTGTCGATAAAACAGAATTCGATTGCAATGTGTACGTGTATAAGTGTGTACGTACGTATGTATGTATGTATGTATGTGTAGCGTGTGCGCAGGATATGTCCGAAAGTGTCTTGAAACGTATGTTACAGAAGAAATAAGATGCAGAATCTCCTTGACACAATGACAAGTCGATAAAGAATAATGAGTTTACAATTGGGAGAAGAATTTTGTCTATTGACTTTTACTTATACGTTTCTTTTTAGCGGTTTTTATCGAGGAGAAGGACAAAGAGTGAGAGAAGGCTTCGCACCTCTTTAACTCTTCAGGATTGCTCGTTCACTTTGTTCGTAAGTTGGCGTGTTAATCGCCTAAAAATGTTCGGGAATCTAATGATCGGAACGGGTCGGGTTCTTAGAAGTTTCGGTACTTCCGAGTATGACGAGATTCCCGAAAATGTTTGTCATTCTCGAAAACGTTCGGGATTCTCGAGAATGTTCCTAAGAATGTTTGATATTCCTAAAACTTTCAAGGATTCGATTACTGTTACATAACAGCGAAAATGCATTTTTCTTTCTTCAAGAATTATAGGACATTCTTACTAAATATTATTTCTTAAATTGATACCCTATTAGTTTCATTTTGCGTCGCCTACTAATAGCAGTCATCAGTTCTCGATGACCGTTTGAAGAACCAGAACCGATATCATAACTATTTTCAACTTGAACATTCTTAGATACCCCGAACACTTTCGAAAGTCTCGACATAATCGAGAAACCTGGAGATATTCGAAAAAACTGAAATTTTCGAGAACCCGGTTTCTCGTATGTGTTTGAAACGAAGAAAGGAAGAGCTTGGTAAATAGAGATCTCGTGTCGTGTAAATAATGAAACGAACACTTGGCTCATCGGTGTTTAGAAACTTTCAATGTTTTCTCAACGTGCAACATCTCCACGCCGCGATTTTTACATATTTTTAACGTAAAACGTGTAAGAAGTGCATCCACTAAATAAGCCCCGTTATTCCTTCACGCTGTCGTCTTAACTAGCATGACTGCGTCGCTCGAGCAATTATATTCAGTTAGCAATCATTACGTAGAGTCAGATTATAGTTGCCATTATTAATCATTTAGTGCAACACGCGTACCACGTGCTACTATTGCCACGGTAACTTCAGTGTTCGTTCGTGAAGTCTATGGATATTGAACACGATTAGAAGCGAATTCTTTCACCAGCCTTTTCTAAGAATAGGATACATCGCATAAAATGTAATTGATATACAAGTGTATTGTGAGAAGAACAAACTACTCTAGTATTATCGCGATAATATCTAATTCCAGTGCAAGAAGCATAGTCCTAACTAAATTATCATAGAGAATCTATTACAAGAAGAATATCAGACTCGCAGTTCTAATTAAAGAGAACTAAAAGGAATGTCTGATCACTTTGAAATCCATATTGATTAAACATTTTTTAATATTGTGGAATGAGTACCAGCTTTAAGATTTTTCTTTTTTGTACATACAAAAATTACTCAAACTTATTGATAATCAGAAATTGATTTTACGTGATGATCGAGGGCAGAAAAAGAAAACGTAAGGCATTTTTAAATCTTTGATTTACAATCGACGAATCGTGTTGTCGGAAAAATTCCAAGCTTAAATCGTACAAAATTTGTGGAATTACAATCCTTCACAATAAGTACTCGTATCTAAAATATCGGATCGAGTATTAAAAGTAAAGAGAAGAAGCGTCATCTGTAATTTTTCAACTTTACTCGTCTCGCAGTTTTTGAGCTAAAACTTATAAAAGTTCCATAAGGACACCGTGATTACGCGTGGATACTCTCAATTGAACGAATTATCGAATTCGAATTCGATTGTCGTACATGAATATTATTAGTCGTCAGACGAAGAGACTACATGTATACATACTAGGAAGTGAATAGAACGGAGTTATAACATCGAGATTACCTCTTTCGAAGTACATCCCAGTATCGCGAGATACGACAGTCAAAATGATGCTATACATAAAATAAATCTTATGCAGAAGCACATACCCAACTCGAAGATACGAATATTAACCGTTGATACGATCATTGACAGGCGTAAATAGCGTCTAGACTATTTCTATAAAGTAGAATCGGCGCGAAGATATCTATCGATAAGACGTCGTGTGTATGTAAGTATATAATTACTTGTTTGTAATTGTCGAGAGAAATGATCGATATTTAACGTTCTTTCGCGTAAGGAGTCTTGTACATAGTTAAAGAAGGAAAGGAAACGCCGAGGTACTCAGCTCCCTCCTAAAAATATTGTACTATAATGACATTAACATTAACGATAATGATAATGATAATGATAACAATGATGATGCATACCACACTGTCGCATGAAACGCGAGAGGCTAATTAAGATAAACGAAACGGGGATTCAAAGAGTGGAGAAAAAAGAGTAAAAAACGGAAATAATAATAATAATGATAATGATTAAATTTAACAAAGGTGGCTAAGAAACGATATTACCTACGAACCCGCTATTAATGCGATTAATTCAAGATAAAGATTAACTACAATTAATAGCGAGCGAGAGCATTAACACGCCTACAGTAAACTACAGGTGTAGCGTACACGATAATATTATTATCAAGACAGTTCAATGTAAATTGTTATTTTTGTTGAAATAAAAATCACCTCCGTTATAATAACGAGCACGACACCCTTTTCTGACTCTTGTCTCCGAACGCCTCGTGTTATACTCTAATCAATCGAATTCTACATACAGATTCGCAGAGCGTACATACATGAATGATTTTAAAATGTCACACAATTTCAAGTTCCTAATATTTAAATTCAAATTAAATCTGAATAATGACACCAAGCTACTTAATTTAAAAAATTAATTTTAATTGTACCAAATTCATCGTTTTATCTCTCTGTTTTACTCTACAATTTTATTTCGATATTTACTGTCTAAACGAGTATTAATTTTAAAACTATTACGAATTTGAAATCGTTGTAGTTCACTGAAATGATTCTTAAATCAATATTGAAATAGTTTTTATGAGCAGTTCTTCGTGAATCGTAAGAGTTTAAAAAACAATTCTGTATTTGTACTGGTGTGTTACATCATAATCGAACGATTTTTTTTTTTAAAACAGATGACACTATTTGATTTGAGATTACTAGTAATCTCTCCTCGGTGATTGTATGTATGTACATGCGATTTTTTTATTGATAAAAATAATACAATTACATTTAACTAAAGATATTTATATATGTATAGAAAAAATATCGCGATTGTCAATGACTGCACCTGTCCAAAATGATGATACTCATTAACAAAATAGAAACTGTTTATGAGATAAATGAAAATTCGGTGGTTATCTGTATTTTATGAACTCCGCTTTTATTTAAACCGATTATTTATAATTTATTCTGTACTATCTTGTATAAAAAAAAATGAGATTTCTATTACCGTATTGTATTTTTGTTTTGATCAGAAATGATAGAATCCACGTTTTATTAAAGTACTCTGATGAAGTGATTCGAGCAACACTTGCAGTTCTTCCCGTAGGTGAGAAGATTTTTCAGCTGCTTGCTGAATTCACTCATGGTCTGTGCGAGAGAAGAAGAACAATTATATTATTAAGAATACATATTACCCCGTTTCACCACCGTAAGTGTGGAATTTCGCAAAATTCAGAAATTCGTTTTTGATATTCTTATAAAGTGACATTTTGGTACCAAAACCAGTTTGGCATATCGTGAGGTTTAAGAGATATTGCAAATGTTAATTACTATTGGCTCAAAGGGAACTTTTAAGAAATTACAATCATTATCATATAATGTTCATCCATAAAATATAATTAGACATTTTTTATTCAGCATCTGATATTTATTACAAAACTTAGATGAGGTACTTAATACATAATAAACACTTGCACGCGAAAAACCATACAAATGCAATTAACGAATAGAGTTGAGGTTTTTCGACAGAAGTTCTTCGTTATCCAATATGAAGTTGTGCGATAGTGATCGGTTTTGTTCGTTACAAGAATTTACCTTGCCTCTTGAGATCGACACATTACAACTAGCACGCCACGTGTGTTATTTCACGTCTTTTAAATTCTTAAGCTAACAATTTTTCTGAACTTGTGCTCATGTTTTTCGTTTGTTACAAGGAACATTTGAAAATATAAAAATAGATGTTTCACGTACACAATTATATCGTTCGACATGGTGTTCCCATTTTCTGCGTGCTTAAACGGTACCTTACATCCTACAATTAAATAGGCAAGTACTATACATATACGTAACAACGAAATAGTTGACGTGACTACAAATAGTGAGAAAAAAGAGAATTATAAAAGTAAAAAGAAAAAAGTAAATCGGAGGCTTTCTGTTCGATGAAACTAAAACTGAATAACTGCAATCTCTATGCGCAGAAAAATTAATTTAAATAGTAGCAAAATCATAATATACTCCGTGCGTGAAAAACGAAACTTAAGTAATTATTACAATTAGTATCTGTTTACTTGAAGATAACAATTACATAATTGTTAATACTAATACTATTATTCCATAACTTCATTATATGGATCATTATATGGATTCATGGATACTATTTTATACTAATTAATTAATATTGACGTTCTTTCTTCATACTTTAAAGTTGATATACTGTATTCCTAAATAAATATTAGAAATTCAATATGGACATACCGAAGTTCGGTTTTAATTTTAAAAGGCACTTGTAAATTTTCTTATCGACTTCCCGAATTTGTAAAAGGCCCATCACACATCTTACACATAGTTCTTTTTAAGGCATTAGTAGTTTGCAGATCAGGTACATAAGATAGTGAATTATAAATAGATAATACAATGGAGTGCAGTAACTTGTCATACAAGTATCATCGATATTTTTTCGAACAATAGTTTTACTGCGATAATATTTACTTAACGCGTACAATTAAAAGAAACAGAAGTTGTTTCTTCGAACAATAAAATATTACTGCAATATATTTTGCAATACTGATATTCATTGCACGATTCAAGAGAATTGTATGTTCACTTCACGTCTGTTATTAGG